CTATTTCTACTTTTAAACCTTACTCCCAACCCCTCCTACTATTCCTACTGATGAACCCTATTTCCGACCCTCTTTTTATAGCAACTCCTAATCCCTACTCCCCAACCCCTCCTACTATTCCTACTCCTGAAACCTACTCCCAACCCCTCTTACTATTCCTACTCATTAACACTACTCCCGACCCCTCCTACTATTCCTACTCCTGAACCCTACTCCAAACTCCTCCTACTATTCCTACCCTTGAACCCTATTCCCAAACCCTCCTACTCCCAAACCCTCCTAGTACTCCTATTCCTAAACCCTACTCACAACGGCTCCTACTATTTCTACTCCTAAACCCTACTCCCAATACCTCCTACTATTCCTACTCATGAACCTTACTCCCAATCCCTCCTACTATTCCTACTCCTAAACCCTACTCCCCAACCCTTTCTAATATTCCTACTCCTGAGCCCTACTCCCAAACCATCCTACAATTCTTACTCCTGAACCCTATTTCCAACCCCTTCTAGTATTCCAACTACTGATGAGAAAATATAATTGCTCCCAAGACAACTGGAGCTAATTACTAATCCTCATCAGTACTATCACCACACGTAGAGTAGAGTACATCCAGCAATTATAGACACTTTCTTCTCTTAATACAATCATATACAATCAATATCTGGAAACCTACAAGAAAAAACTCGAGAAAAAAATTCATTTTCCGTTTTGATCGTTTAAGGTTTTATATAACTTTTCACGCCAAAATCGATGAGAAGATATTCTAAAATGTACAAATCTACAAATAAGTATAAGCAAGTTAGCAATGTCAAAGTACGGTCCAAGGCGTTGCGACACTTTAAAGTCGACCCAGTCTCGAAAATTGATGAAACTTTGCATATCAGTTGAATATCTATGTTGTATAAGGGAAGTGAGGAAGGAATGTAAAGGAATGATAAATCTGTGAGTAGAAAACGAATTCTAAATATATTTCGAAAAAGTATATTTGGCAAGATTGATCAAGAAAAACATGACAGGAGACAGGATGATTCCCAGAGGAGAAGAAGGAAAAATACCTTCCTTACATTCAAGAATAAACCATTCTATACATTTACATTTATACGACCAAACATTCAAGGATAAAACCATTTTTTACATTTACATTTATACGACAAAACATTAAAGGATAAAACCATTCTATACATTTACATTTATACGACCAAACATTCAAGGATAAAACCATTCTATACATTTACATTTATACGACCAAACATTCAAAAATAAAACCATTCTATACATTTACATTTATACGACCAAACATTCAAGAATAAAACCATTCTATACATTTACATTTATACGACCAAACAATCAAGGAGAATATAATTGATTAATCTTATATTTTCTTTATCAGCTTTCAGTATCTTTACTAAAAGTGTTCGTTCTAAGATGATAAAAATTATCTCTTTATTATTATGATTACAGTGTTTTTTTAAAGTTCAATTTAAAACTTTAAAGGAATTGAGTCTTTATCATTCAAACTCTTACAACCTGATGATGTAAAACTTTGATATTTCATATTAAGATTTTTTTTTGATTCAACATTATTCATATTTTGAAATATCTAAGGTCTCCGACAAAGCAAAGACGGTGGGATTTGAAAATCAGAGTTTGCGGCAAAAACTCATTTTAACATAAAACAAAAACCAGTGGAAAGGAACTGATTACTCCCATCATACTCTTAATTTTAAAGTTTATGACCTTGTAGCTTTTTGCCTTTTGCATTTAAATAATGATATTCTTCTGAAAAGCTGTTAATTGTTCAATAAAAGGAGTTATGATTAAACATGTAAGATTTCATCTTATACACGCAGTTTACTATACATCTTACCTTCAATTTACTTTAGCTTGACATGAAATATCGAATATCTATATTGACAGGTTGACCAGATATAAAGATATCAGTTCCTATCTTACAATATGATTTAGCAGAGCAAATTAAAAAAAGATATAAGGCATATGTGTTTATTGCTTTTTAGATGAAAAGAAATTTTCCGTTTTCCACAAATAGTCTTTTATGCTTCGATCAAAGAAATATTATATTTTATATTAAAACGTGTTCAAAGAAAAGCTAAAATAATGTTAAAATCATTCTCAGCTTGTGCCCTAGTTTCAAATGTCACATTAGATTGCATTTAAACTGCATTAACTCTAATTTAAATAAATTATACAAAATTTTTAACATATAGTGTAAATTTTAAGAAGAAATTTATCATCAAACTATTTTCTTTCTAGAGGAAATGAATCTTTGCGCCAAACTCATATTTGCACATCCCTATATCTCTTCAACCTGATGGTTAAAACCTTAAATATTTACAATTTATATTATTTGAACCAGCAGAATGCATAGTTAAAAATATCTAAGATCTACGACAAAAGGTTGCGAAGATATAGAAATTAGAAAATCAGAGCTTTTGGCAAAAACTTAATTTCTTTTTCTTCTTAATATGAAAGAAAGCAATGTATAAATGGAAGCGGTTTAAGGAATTCTTAATTTAGACCAAATATTTAATCAGGATAGAAGCACGATCATTTGCTATTAACTCACTTGCAATCCAAATCAGCTGCTATCAGCCTCACTTGCTATCCAAACATTTGCTATCAAACTCATTTACTATCAATTCAGTTGCGATCACATTAATTTGCTATCCCGCCTCATTTCCTATCCGGTGTCAACTGCTTTCGACACATTTACTATCAAGCCTCACTTGCTATCAGGCCAATTTGCTATATCAATCCTCAGTTGCAGTTAACAATTTTGCTTTCAATCATCATTTGCTATCAAATTTTAGACTTCCTCTAAATCCTTATTTTTTCCATTTTTTTCTCCTAAAAACTGCAAAAAATGGAAAACTTTTCGAAAATTTGGAATTCTTCATTCTCTGGCAAACTTTGCGTGGGCATGGAACCGGCTCATTGTGCTGCCTTAAGTAAAGGTTTCAACCTTTTGAAAGATATTTATAACAACCTGTAAAGTCACTACAAAGACAAGGCATACAATACACAGACCACCTACAGGTGTGCCAGAAATACAGAAACGGATGCAAAGCGCGTAGCTGTTGTACAATAGGAATCCAACGAACAGGTTTTGTTAGCAACTTATTTAGAAAACAACTTATTTATGGCAAGAAAGAACTGGTTTTGATAGCAACTTATTTAGAAAGCAACAAGTTCTTGATAGCAACTAAGAACTGGTTTTGATAGCAACTTACTGAGCAAGCAAAAAGTTTATGATAGCAACTAAGAACTGGTTTTGATAGCAACTTGCTAATTTCTAGTTTTGGACAGCAGATGAGCATTGATAGCAGTTGAGACTGGAGAGCAAACGTTTTGATAGCAAGTGAGGCCTGATAGCAAATTGACCTGATACAATTGAGGCTGTATAGCAAGTGAAACAGATAGCAAGTAAATTGATAGCAAGTGAATTGATAGCAAATTATCGTGCTCCAATATAAATATATGGCAGATATTTATGAGTTTTATATAATTTAAAAAAATGTTTGAAGGGAGTTGATTTAGTGTCAAAAACTCAAATTTTCTAAATCTAATGGTGTATACATTTTTACGTTTTTTTTCTCCGCTTTTAAATCAAAATAAGATCGTCCACAAAATTGCTATTTAAGAATCTTGACAGACACTTAAAAATGAAAAAAAAACAGAAATTAAAAAGGATAAAGATTAAAAAAAGGAACTGAAAAAGATTTAAAATGAAAAAGGTAGAATATGAAAAAGATTGATATGGACGGAGAAAAAGCTAGGTTTCCCCCAGGGCAGAGAAATATCTTTGAGATGATATTAGCCAGCAATGTGTTACACAGAAATGATTTATATCACAGCAAAGTATGTTCAATATAGAATCCAACCCTCCTGTTCATATACCTAGATTAGGTTTAATATATGAGTAGGTTTAGTATAGAATCCAACCCTCCTGTTCATATACCTAGAGTAGGTTAAGTAAGAATCCGACTCTACTGTTCACATACCTAGATTAGAAATGTAATTTAAAGAATTTGAGCCGCGGTTTAAATCTGCCAAAACCCGGTTTAAATTAAGCGCCGGTTTAAATCTTGAAACATTTGATACAATTTTAAGTGAAACCAACCATATTTAAGCCGCGGCTTATCCAACCCTCCTGTTCATATACCTAGATTAGGTTTAATATAGAATCCAACCCTCCTGTTCATATACCTAGATTAGGTTTAATATAGAATCCAACCCTCCTGTTCATATACCTAGATTAGGTTTAGTATAGAATCCAACCCTTCTGTTCATATACCTAGAGTATGTTCAATATAGAATCCAACCCTCCTGTTCATATACCTAGAGCAGATTTAATATATAATCCAACCCTCCTGTTCGTATATCTAGAGTAGGTTCAGAATCAAAGTTTGGTTTAGTATACCTGAAGTAGGTTTAATATAGAATCCAATCCTACTGTTCATATACCTAGAGTAGGTTCAATATAGAATCAAACCCTCCTGTTCATAAACCTAGATAGGTTTAGCATCGAATCCAACCCTCCTGTTCATATACCTAGATAGTTTTAGCATCGAATCCAACGTTCCTGCTCACATACCTAGATAGGTTTAGTATAGAATCCAACCCTCATATTTTTTTCCTAGGGTAGGTTTAGTATAGAATCCAACCCTCCTGTTCATATACCTAGAATGGTTTAGTATAGAATCCAACCTACCTGTTCATATACCTTGAGTAGCTTTAGTATAGAATCCAATCATAAGTGTGTATTTGATCTTGTTAGAAAACAAATGGTTTGTTCATGCAGTAGGATGAACATCAACTTCTGAAATAAAATTGGGGTCTTTGAACACTGTATATATGTTTGTTGGGCTGTTTAAAATCACAATTTGAATTGTACAGTCGTCTCCCTTTTAAATAGTTTTAAGGGTTCCACTGTACCTCTCCAATAAAACATGAAAAATCAGTATATTTGAATGATAATCTAACATCAAACCATTTTATTATTAAAATATTTAATTATCAAATTGTTTTGTAAATACATATAGTTACTGTTACATAATTAGTATAAAACCTATAGGCTGTAAATTTTCAATTAAATATCACAATAAATTTAAACAATAATGCCTGTAATGAAAAATAGTACTACAATTTTATATAAAAGCTAGAACATATGATAAGTTATCACGGGGGGTAAACCGAACTTATGATTACTCTTCCTGCTTCCGTCCTTCCGGCCAGGTAGGAACGGATCTTCTTCCTTGCTAGTGTCCCTGAGTATATTTATCTCAGGTTCAGGCTTTCTCAGGCTTGCGTTCATTGCTTCAATCTCCTCTTCGGTTTTCTCCATGATACCAACCAAGGTATGCTCCTTCTTGAAACATTTTCCCGCATCTGAACCCCAATCTTTCCCGCATTTTTTGCAAACTTTCTTACAGCCTGTACTATTCACCTCTCGGAGACAGCAGTGGTAGCGGGGAGAGCATCCACTAGTACTTTTGGACACCAGGGCTCCACAGCATTTATACCTGGAAAAATACTTTATACAAAAAACTCTTTGTTGATCTTATTTATTAACAACAGAAGCTTTTGAGCCTTTATCCAAGCAATTAAAATATCGTCGATTTTCTATTGAAAAAGTGTTGAATTCCGACAATTTCCCTTGTATTCTTCTGCTGTATAAATCCTGAATTTACCTTAAAGAGAACAGCCATTAAAATAATCAATTTTAAGATAACTCTAAGAGGAATAACTCTATCATTTTTACTCATACAAAGATTTACCGTTGTGAATCAGATATTTATGAAATTTGAATTTTGGACCATTTTCGTCAAGTTTCGACAATTTTCGACAAATTAGCATCTCAAACAAGTATTGAATTGTTATAAAAACGACTTCTTAAATGCTGACAAATTTATGCAATTGTAATTTTCGACTATTTTCGACAATTTTAGACAAACTAGCATATCAAACAAGTATTAAATTGATATAAAACGACACATTTAAAGCTGACATTTATGCAATTGGAATTTTCGTCCACTTTCGACAATTTTCGAGAGACTTGCATCTTAACCAAGTATCAAATTGATATAAAACGACACATTAAAAGCTGACATTTATGCGATTGGAATTTTCGTCCATTTTCGACAATTTTCGTGAGACTTGCATCTTAATTTCCACCATGTTCGACAAGTTTATCCTTCTTTGAATGAAGAGTCACTCGATCATTATGTCTACAGTCTTTAGCTTTAAAAATCATGAAAATTTGACATTTTATTCTGATAGAATGTATTGAAATTATTTTTATCTGAAATTTTTAAACATTTACCTATATTGACAACCACCTTCGCTATCTTCCCAGCTCGCCTTACAGCAGGCCCATTTCTTTTTACAGCCTTCCTTCCCAGATCGTCTTCGACAGCACGTGTAGCGGGGTTTGCGCAGAGTGCCGCAACACAATGATGAATACCAACTTTTACTTAATCTTCCATCATGTTCTATCACGTAGTGAGAGGACGGATGGAACATCTCTTGACCTAAATATTTACGAATTTAAGGTACATTTAGACGGGATTCAATACAATAACTCATCTTCTTTTCCTACAATTATGTGTATTGCAAAAGAAACAAAATATTCTGATGTGATAGTTTTTTTTTTGTTTTACTTCAGAACACTCAATAAATTGCACTTACTGTATATTGTTTGTATTTCGTCCAAAAAAAATCCTAAGATTTTGTTCGTAAAATAAAATTTACGAATTACGAACATTTTGTTGAAATAAAAGTTTGTGAGATATTCCTAACATTTTCTTTATCAGTAGTTACATATTACGAACCAAATGTTCTAATACTGTAATATACCTCCAGGATGATGGTTCTCAATAACTCCAGGATGCACCAACTGCTCCTCCATGTGACAGAACGGAGACAGGAGTCTCTCATCCCCCTTCACCGAGCAGACAATGCATCTTTTGGTCTTGAAGACGACCTGAACCGGATCCTTGAGTTCAGCCAGCTTCTCCTTGAGTATTTCTCTGATCTCCTCATCTGTTTTTATATTGTAGGTTTGCCGCGTCTACATAATATATATTTAACATTCATATTTACGCAATATTGAGGGTGGTGGATTCAGGTTTTTTTGGCCCCCCCCCGTAAGAAAAAATTTCTGACTATGCTCCTTTTGCTTTCTTCTCAAAATCCATTTACGTATATATATGAAAATTTCATTCAGATAAAAATATTTTAGAATTTATTCAAAAATAAGAATTTGAATTAAAAAGTCCATTTTGAATTTTATAAAATTATGAAAACAAAAACTTAATTTATTGATAATAAGCATAGATGTGATACATTAGCAATCGGCATTCAGCAAGGTTTAAAAATGATCAGAAAACTTTGAAAGTTGAAAAAATGTTAAATTTTTTTCCTCTGAACAAATGAAATATTCTCGTTGTTTAGGACTTAATGTTGGATCCTCGTAGAATCTATATCCTGAAATATAATCATTGGTATATTTAAGACTTAAAGTTGGATCCTCGTAGAATCTATATCCTGAAATATAATCATTGGTATATTTTGGACTTAATGTTGGATCCTCGTAGAATCTATATCCTGAAATATAATCATTGATATGTTTAGGACTTAGAGTCGGGTCCTCGTAGAATCTATTTCCTGAAATATAATCATTAATATGGTTAGGACTTAAAGATGGATCCTGGTAGAATCTATATTATGAAATAGAATCATTGATATGTTTAGGACTTAAAGTTGGATCCTGGTAGAATCTATATCTGAAATATAATCATTGATATATTTAGGACTTAAAGTTGGATCCTGGTAGAATCTATATCCTGAAATATAATCATTGATATGTTTAGGACTTTAAGTTTGATCCTGGTAGAATCTATATCCTGAAATATAATAATTGATATGTTTAGGACTTAAAGTTGAAACTTTTAATAAATCAAATTTTGACTTTTTTATCTGACATAATTCATGGTTATAAAGGAAAAGGTTCACAACTTCATGGTTACAAAAATGTAGTGATTTAGAAAACAGAGGGGAGTTTTCCGCTCCTTTTCCGTCTTCACTGTAGATATGTGCATTGCTTTCTGTAAAGAGGATCGATCTAAAATCCCATATATGGAGATAGGAAAAAACACTTTTATGTTTAAATGTTAAAATGGGATTAAGCAACACAAATCCTTCCATGAAAGGGAGTGGCTGGCTAGGTATGGGAGTTGAACTGAAATTGCAGTGTTATAGAGTAATGTATAGGATTAAAAAAATTAATTTCTTGTGTAAGAACAGACTGAGAAAACGAAATTAACTCTTATCATCGAAAATAATTTTTTTATTCAATTTATCTTTTTTTGCAATCTTTGATTCTTCCAGAAAGTTTTTCCTCCGGGTTATTAAATAATGTCAAAAAATCGGTTCTTGAGAGCAAGCCTCCAACATGGACAATCCTTTAATTTGCAGCTCTTCTTAGCAATCATACACAGTAAGCACTTTGATAGGTATTAAATGAGTTCTTTGAATGTTCTCTTTAATACTGCACTCTCAGTTCAACTACCATACATAGTCAGCCACTCCCTTTAAATCACTGATTCCTAATCTGTACCTGTATAATGAATATATTGTTTGGCATAATCCTCTGCTGCTTTTAGGGCACCCTGATAAACGTAAACTCTTTAAAATTTAGAAAATTAAAATATTTAGTTTTTGTATTAATAAGAAAGTGTTTTGTTGTCCTAGGACGATTTTTATTTATTTATCAAAATCAAAGGAGCTATAAAGTGCTTGCCACAAATTCCCTATATCTTTGCAACCTGATGTCGTAGACCTTTGATATTTAAAACTATGAACTCTGTTAGAACAAACAATCTAAGTTTGAAATATCAAAGTTTTAATCCATCATATTTTAAAGGCAGATGGATTCGAAAGTTTAAGTTCCTTACAAGAACCCAGTTCCTTTCATCAAATTTTTTTAAAAACGTTAAAATTTTTGAATTTTAAATTGAATAAATGATTTTGTGAAGAGTCTTTCCTGACAATCATGATCTGGATTTAAACTTTGCTTAGCCACAATGATCACATTATTCCAGATTTTTTCCTGAACAATATTTAATAGTTATTTTATAAATCTAAAAATCAGTCTTGCTTTATGAACGTCAGTTGGTACAAGTGCATTTATATATGTATCGTATATGTATATATGTATCGTATATGTATATATGTATGTATTTGTTTTAATATTAACTAATATCAAAACTTTTACAAATTAATTATTTTAAGTTTTTGAGCATTTTTTTCGGATTTTGGACGTTTTGTTTTTATATGTTTGTATTTGGTCGTTTTGTATCTGCTTCAGTAAATGCAGACATATTGTTTGTGTATGGAGTTCTTTTGATCCTCGGAATTAAAATTTTTCTTTATTTTTATACAGACAAGTTTTCACTTAAAAAATTATGTAAGTTTTAAAAAGAATAAAAGATTCGTTTTGAAAAGTTAAACATGCTAAAATTGCTAAAATTTATAATAGATTAGGAATCCGTGACAATGCTTTCCTAACATAAATTATATACAACTAAAGCACATTCACCAAAATTCAAACGTTTTCAAAAATAATTAAAGTATCTAGTTTTTACTAGTTTTTATTAAGATTTAGGGATAGTAAATGTTATTTTAAATAATGATTTTCTTAAATAGTCCCATCAGAGATTCAAAACAATAACTTCCTTTTCTTTTAAATGCATCAGCATATAAATTTTTCCTACTACTTGAATTGGTTCAACGATTAGCTATTTATTTGATAATTTTAACTAGGTTAAACGATTAACGATTTGTTTGTGTGCAATTCTTAATCATCTTTATATAGTTATTAAAAAAATTCATCATTTTCCTACTGTTATTTGAACTAGGCTAATCGATTAACGATTTATTTGTGTGCAATTCTTAATCGTCTAAATATAGTTATTAAAAAAATCCAATTGCATTCCAACAAACAGAACTTAGTTGAAATACTAGTTTGAAACTAGTTTAAAAGCCGACTTTATCTCGATTTTATTTTTACTTTTTGCAGACTGTACTAGTCCTGATCTTGCATTAAAAAATGTAGAAATACTTAATGGCAAAATAATGTAATTTGGTACGACTGTTCAAGAAGAAAACTCGAAACTTCTGAAAAAACTTCTGGAAGTCATAAGTCTGGAAATGTTCCACTTCTGTTTGAAGGGATCGTTCGTTCGTTCTTGCCGGATCTGGGTATCCGAGTAGTATCCGGATCTGAGTATCCGAGTAGTATCCGGATCTATGTATCCGAGTAGTATCCGGATCTGGGTATCCTAGTATTATCCGGATCTATGTATCCAGTAGTATCCGGATCTGGGTACCCTATATACCTGGAACATATTGATGAGTCTAGCCTGCCCCAGGAGTAATGCGTCCCGTCTCACATTTGGAGATATATTCCAGATCACAGCCTTTACCTAAATATTATTTATTCATTAGTTTTTTTCGTTACACAATCAACTTTTAAACAATATATTGGTAGTCAATTCTGATAATGTTTTATACCTTTATCAAGTCATAAAACTATAAAGGAATTTAGTTTTCGTAAAAAATAATTTTTTCTTTTGTATTTTTCATCATGGTCTTATGGTTAACATTAAACAGGATGACTTTTAAATTCTAAATAAAAAATATTAAAAATATCAGTAATCGTGATTTTCCCCTTTTTTCACCCCCCCCCCCTCCGGGGGCAGTTTTTTAATCATTTTAATAATCATGATGAAATAATTAGTATGATTAAAAATCATGGAATTAAATAGATTTCTCTACTTTTTGAATATTTCCAGTCACTAATAAATTGATATATTGCAGTATTGCAAACTTGAAAATACATTGGGTAAAATTTTTATATTTTTTAGTATTTGTTCAGCATATGTCAATACTGTTTTCAATCTGCTCACATAACATGTCATCGATTTAATTTTAATGGGGTTTAGAATTATTTATTTAAAACACGTGTTTCTTAAGTATGGTGTTAAAAAAAGACCAAGCTAAAAACTCAAAAAAAAAACAATATTGATAAGTCATTTTCTAGAAACTTTAAATACTGTTGTATTCTTTATTTGTAAAGTACATTATTTAAAATTTAAAAAGACTTCTGGACTGCAAACTTATATGCAGTACAAACTCCAAACTCAAATACCGGGCCTACTTTTAAGTTGCTAGAGCAAGCTGTACAGTACACATTCAGACTAAATAATGCAAAACGGGACTGTACACCAAAGAAACAGCCCCTTTTAGTAAATTTGGGATATGTTTACGCCCGGTGTATATGTACTTGAATATTCACCTTGGTAATATTATATTTATCAATAAACCGAAGAATATCCTTGAAAGTTTCGTCGTCTTCACACTCTGCATCATCCCAGCCAACTGTATCAACCCAAACCGGCTCATCATCATCCTAAATCAATAAGAAATTGCGACTTCACTCATCTTATGAAAAGTTTTACAAATAAAGGTATATAATTGTTTAGATCGTGGGTATACAATCTATGTTTCGGGGCAATTAAAAAATGCAACATTTTACCGAGCCAAATTGGTTGAAACATATTTCTATAAACCTTTACCGTTACAACTACTGAACTAACGTTACGTGTAATTTTTAAGTTAACCTCCATTCAAAGATGGCAATGCCCGATTCACAACAATACCCTAAAAATCTTTGTCTGATCAAATATTAATTAAAGATATCCATGTTTTTGTTTTTTAAACTGTATATTTTTGATTGCGGTTTCATTGCGAAAGTGACTTGCGCATTTCTTGCTTTTAAGGAGCAATAGGAAATTATTAAAATTTAACACTTTTAGAGTCAGAAAAACGACTTATCTTCCACATTTTAGATCAGGTTAAGGTTTCAAAGGTACCGTTGTAAATCGGGCATTGCCATCTTTGCATGGAGGGTCACTTGATTAAAATTACGCTAGCAGTCCATTTAAGACCAGATGTGAACTTCTAAATAGTATTCAAGCGAAATTAAATGACACTATATGGAGGATATGGAGATTACCATATTAGTAAAAATCTCTGAGATTTAAAGTTTTAAAGTTTCGTTTTGGAATGTTTTTTTCTTGTAATTTTAAGAGGCAGATAAACAGTGAAGAACATATGTCTTTGAACAGAGAAGGAATGTTATTATTTTTATGTGTTTACAACAATTTTAAAACAGGTTTCTGAAAACAAAACCACTTCCGGTTGATTGTTGTTTTCTAAGACAGAGAAATACGTAAATCATGGTGCTTGGTCCAACCTGGTACGATTACACCTTTAGTTCTTAAAGGGAGGGTTCAAGATATATATTAAAGGACGAGCTAAATTAAATTATAAATCGATAAAAATAAACTATTTATTAATTACTAATGTTAGAAAACCAAAATTCTGAAACGTTGAGAAAAACTAATTTAGGAGGAAAAAAATTAAATTTTTTCATTTACTTAGGTGAATATTTATTAAACGTTTATTTTTTAAATCATCAAAGAACAAAACTTTTATATTTAATTTGATTTATTCTATATTTAAATAGTAGTTATCTTAATAGTAGTTATTAAATTTACCAGTGGTACATAAAATAGTCTGCAGCTCACCAGTATATCAACTAATTAAATAAAAAGTTACCAAAATACTTCGATGAATTTCACAGTTCTTGGTTACCCTGTCGTGCCCTGAACCGGACTTGGTTTTAGAACCTAAAAAAACATAAAGTCGTCTTTGCACGTTATGTTAAAATTAGTTATTTGAATAATTGAAAAAAAAATTTGACATCTTTTATTTCCGATGGTTCAATGTTTATCTTTTTAATCAATAAATCAATATTTAGCAAAATAAATATCCAAAATTGCTCCCGATATTTCAATAAGATTTATAAGTTAAGAAATAGTTGGGGAGTCGGCGTTTACATTTCTATTTAGTTTTAAAAACATAAAATAAAAACAAATTAAAGTTTATGTCAAGTTTATGTTACTGTTTTATCACCCCCTAACATCTTCAACTAGTCATTATTACAGTCAATACAAGCTGGAAATACAAAATACAGTTTTCCTTGTTTAAAAAAATAATAAAACTTAAATTTAAATTTACTTCTTCTAATTTTGTTAGAATCCTTGATTAAAAATTTCCTCATTAATGTTTTCCATGTATACAGTAAGTATTGGAAGACGACATTATAGAAATATTTTTGTATATTTGATGTTGTTACAGAGCTGAAAACTTTAGAATTATGGATATCAAGATTAATGCTTAAACTCCTGGTTTTACTAAACCCGAGAATATTTTAATACGTATTCGATATCCAAGAAAGAAGTACAAAATTCAACCATCAGCGTAACATGTTAAGATGTACTCTTTTTTTTGGAAAAAACCGGGTTTTTTTCTGATGTTAATTGTGTCATATCAATTGAACTAACCATTAAGACTAATGTTTAAAATGATGATAGTCCTAAAATGTGATAAAATATATATTTTTTAATAAGTTTATATTAACATGATTAAATTTATATTTGCTTAAATGCTCTAAAAGCCGGCTTGTGAAAACAGCTGACTTTAATTCAATCGGATATTAGTTCAATCGATATAGCATTGTATCTGTAATTGTTATCAAACGTAACTTTTATACAGTAGTGATATTCAAAAAAGAGGATTAAGAATAAAATCAAAAGTGTGTGCATAGGATACTCAGATTAAGCGATCAGGATTAAGGATATCTCATTCTAAAGTTTTCAGCTCAGAGCAAATAGTTTTACCAGGAACTTATTTAATCACTTATCAAGTTATTAGGGTCTGTTTACACTAGACAACTTCTATGTCTTCTGTTCATTGGACTATTTTTGAGTCCAAAAGCCGTCTTTCTATTCCAGAGTATTCTGGTTCTCACTGTAGACATACAGAATTTCAAATGATAGATTTATAAATCTTTAAATCTGATAACTATTCTTAGACATCTGATTGGCACGTGATGGAAAATTTTGTCAATTTTATTATTTCTTTCTAATTTTAAATTCTTAGATAATTTATTTATTAATTTTGTAAAAAAAAGCAAATCTATTGATTTTTTTCTCCCATTTCTAGCAAAGTTTTAAAATTAAAAATCCATTTCGATATATAATGTATCTCTTAATCTGGTCGTTTGTTCGTAAAAACAAATTACCTGTATATTTTGCTATCGTTGAACTCTTCCCTGTTCCTGTAGATCCGACGCAGATAATACAACTTCCGATACTGTCGTCTTCCTCAGCATTGTGTGGAGCAGATACAGGGATAGACACCTTTCCTACAATAGATAAATGACTTAATACCTAGAAATGTATTCTTTTTGTTATACTAGCTTGGGAACCCAGCTTTTTCTGGAAATTAAATTTTCTCAGCAATTAAAAGTCAACCCAATCACGGTGGACTAAGCCACTTGGGTCGGTCAAATAGGCCTAGGATTAGGCCGGGTACTGTAAAAAGTCTGAACGCGCCATGGGAGTTGTCATAGTTAGCCCTCGGACGGGACTATGCCAAGAAAATTAACCCCTGTCGTATGTTAGTCTTGTTAGGGCGACGTACTGTACCATAGGATCGGGTTCGTACACGCTGTTATCTGGCAGGCCGGTACAAACTGGGCAGGTCCAGATTGAATTCAAATTTACTACGGCCCAGAGAGCAATTATACTGTAATATACAGTTTGACCTTTGGAAGTGGAGTATATGGCCTGTACAATTAGTAAAGGATTAGCGTACATCATCACTCTATACACTATAACCTCGATAGTTCCACTCTATACACTTTAACCTCGTTAGTTCCACTTTATTCAACTTGTTTCAAGAATTCAAGAAAAAAGATGTTTGTTGCCAATTTCAAATATAAAAATTTTGTTAATTACAGGATGGCCGATGGGTGGCTTGCTTTACCAAAAAAATGCCCAAATTATTTTTTTTCAAAGATTGTATGGTGTCTACACTCAGCAGTTTAAATAAAAAAACATAACGGTTTTGTGTATTTTAAAAGGGTTGGGGGGGGTGCAAAGGTTTCGATAAATGAATTTTACAAGATATTCTTCTTTCAATCTAATTAATTCCTGTTTTTGTATAAAAAAGTGGATTAAACTAGTAAACCAGAGGGACAAGAATATCCAGTGCAATGAATCAAAATAACAATTTTAATTTAAATAAGAATTTAAAACTGTGCTAATATTTTTAACTTTTTTTAAACAAAGGGGGAGATCAGGGTTATATTTGATCCAAAGATAATAAACTTAATTGCTTTAGGACACAGTGATCCAAGAATTGCAAGCTTTCACGCACAAAATTTTGAGAATTTTACCAATTACTTTTTTAAAACTAGAGCCAAGCTAAAGCAAGGTACTAATGCAAGGAAAGTTATTTCAGAGGTGTACGCATTTTTTGTGCTGCAGTGTACTGTCTTTGGGCGGAAAAGTAAACACAAGACGGATGTCACAGACTGACATGGAATCAATTTTCCCAAAAATAATCTATGAAACATTCTGGTCATAGGAAACTATTATGTGAATTTTCAAAATAATTAAAAATAAATGTTTTTATCTCCTTGGATACCAGACAAACACTGATGCATCTATTTTTGTTTACAAATTCCGCCCAGAAAGAACTGGTTTCAATATATACGCAGAGTATACGCGACCGCAATTAACTTTCCTTGCATTAGTACCTTGAGTATAAGTATGAGTGAATTAGTGAAGTAAAACCAAGGGCCATGGCGGTGCAGCTTATAGGACACTTAGTTTTAAATATTGATGCAACTTCTCGTAGTTGTCTTGATTTGTGTGAGCAAAACTTTGAAATGTTTGTGGTTTTACTTTACAGTGTACAATCACATTTAGTTCTGTGTAAATTGTTTTCAAAATTAGCGAAAGATGCAACTTTTAAAACAATTTTCAATCTAGTTTCTTCACAAAGGTTGTAAAAAATAAGGAAATGATTGTCGACAAAATTTCATAATACAATTTAAAACTGCAAATAGTTTTTTATGTTTTTAAATTGGATTCTAAACAAGAAAATTGGATTAAAAAAATCTTTTCATTCTCATTGTATGAACCCTGATACTGAACATAACGAGATTACTAGAGAAAGAGGAAAACATTGCTTTATTTGAGGATGTCTAAAAAGTTTAACTGTATATGAGTCTTCACAAAAGCTAAATCATTTAATCTCAAATTAATAAATACATTGAAAGATTTTTTTAATGTAATTTTCCAAGCTTATCATGATCAATTACTGCTCTGCGTATTTCAGGGCTATTGAATTATTATTGTACGTTTTTGGGACAGCCTAAACACTTTGCTGCTGATATTTAACTACATAGGCCGGTCTGCATAGTAACCC